AGTGTGTGTGAGAGTGTGTGTGTGTGTCTGTGTGTGAGAGTGTGCGCGTTTTTGTGACAAATGAGGACATCAATTTGTATAATGACAAGGGTATGACATAGGTATTACAAGGAGAAGGTGACTTTTCAGGTTTATACTTTCTCTCTGAGAACGACGGACTCATCTGAGGTCAGAGGTCAAAGCACAACTTCCTCTGATCCCCTTTACTTCCTCAAATACTTTTACATTCATGCATTTGACGGATGTTTTGGATTTTTAGGACTTGATTTATTCAGAACAACGTACACTGAATTATAGACATACATTTTATTAGTTCAAGCATTCCCTGCGAATCGAACCCATTACATGTTCTGTGTGTGTGTATGTGTGTGTGTGTCTGTGTGTGTGTATCACGCTCTCGGCCGCTCAGCGCTATAATTTGTTTCTTTAAGGAATTACTCTGTGAATGAGGCAGCAAATCACATTAGTCTGGGAGTGTTTGTGTCCAGACAGCAACAAAACACAAGTCATATTTCACCACTAAACCAAACGGATTAATAACTGTCTTTTGCATAAAGTTAGTATCTTAAGAGCTAGAATTTTTTTTTTTGCATTATTTTCATAGCAATTGCTTAAATATGGGTTCTTGTGATGCCATGAAACAGAAATCTATGAAAGCTCATTTCCACCACATCATAAAAATAATTTTAAAAAGGGAAATTGCACCTTTTTATATCATTATAAAACAAATAAAACAGTTCACTCATAATATCTTAATTAAATGTGATTTATTCTTTCATATCTTTGCCCACTTGCAAAGAATAGAATCCTCTGCTCTACAAAACTGTATAGATGACAGAATACAGGTGATGAGTGACAGATCACACACACACACACACACACGCTCTCACACACGCTCTCACATCAACTGTAGACTATTTATAAACAATAAATATAAACATACATTAATAAATATAGAATGTCTGCAATAAACTGTTAATATTCTACAGCTGGTTGCTTGCTGTTAATGAAAAATGACAATAAACCTGACTGACTTATTAATATTATAGAAGGTCTTGAAATCGCCTCGTGAAATTATACATTTTGGATGCATTTATGATTTTAAACTGTCATAAGTCACACCTATATGTATTTGGCTGGTATTCGTGTAGCTTGAACAGCATTATAATAACACTTAAACTGACATTTTTTAATATTAACATAATTATATTAATACATATTTAACACTTTATATTAAGAATAAACAGTGCGTGAGTCATACGCAGTTGGCGCCACTCACGTGACTTTGTGTGGGCGGGGCTACAGCGCTCTCATCACATGACTGGAACATTCTGCCTCATGACTCGCAGTGAATCTGCTGCCAGACACCGAACAAGCACCGTCACCCGGTTTATAACCGACAGACGCGCATTTAAACAGCACAGATCCGCGCTGCTCGTCTTCAGTACGCGGGCTTCAGTACATAGTGTTCTGCGCTCGGAGTTTGACGCGTTTTCTGACGGACTGAGGCATGACGGTCAAACGGAGCTCCGCTGCAGGTGTCTGCTGGACCCTACTGATGGGTAAGTCATCATAACTCAGCCAAAGTTACCATTAAACTAGTCTGAACGTGAAGTCATGACGCTGTCGAGCGCGAATATCCATGACGTCACACTGTCATTAGCGCGCGTCTGTCTGACTCGGGCTCAAACTAGTTATTTTAGTCAGTTTGGTGTGTTTTAGTCAGTCGGACTGCGCGTTTGTTTCACTTTTGACATTTTATTTCCGTTACGTGCTGCTTTAGGTCGTCTTTTAGAAATTAAATGACGTGGTCAGTGTGTCCTTTCATTTCTGTGCGTGTTTTTGCTTTCATTTGCGTTGTTTGGACGCGCTGGTGACGTCACGTGAGCAGCAGATCAGCGTCACGTGATCAGAACAATAAGCGCGCTTACAACAGCAGTGCTTCGGTCCAGATCGCACTCTGTCATTGTTCTGATCATACTGCACGCTGATTGGCTGGCTGAAGAGCCGCATTGATCTGGTCAGCTCAATGTACCTTGCTGGGCTGGAGCAGGTCCTCTGGATGCATGTGACCAATCAGCTGATCTGTAGATGTCATGTGACTGATCATTGTATAGAGCGCAGCAGTGGGCTCCGGAAGTAAAACTGCAATCTTTTTCTCAATAGGATAATTAATTTTTAACTTATAAACCGATAAAGACAGATGTTGTTAATCGATGTTTGATGCATCAGTCTTATTGAGTTTAACAGAGGAATTCCTGATGGAAAAACTACATTATTCATGATTCTGCACAAAATTCCACCAATCAGATAACTGCGACAAGCAAATAGCACCATAAGAACGCTTTAGCTCCGCCCACTCCTATGGAACACTGCAAAAATATATGTAATCATATATTTCAACTAACCTAAGTTTTATGTTATATAACATTATTTTATATTTTGCAGTAAACCAACTATATTGTTTATTTGGGCTGTCAAAATGGCTGAAAAACTAAATTCGAATTTTGCACTTAAATATTATCAATATTCGAATTATAATTTCAGTTAGGGGGAAAAAAGTTTCTGTGCATCGGGCAAAATATAACTAATGCACGTTTATTAAAGCAATAAAATAACTTGACTATCTGTGAAAAAGTGCGTAATGTTTATAAACCAAATATAATTAATAAGTTGCTTAAACAATGATAAACAAAACAGTATCATGTATGCATAGTTTAATACAAAGGGACGAAAGCCAATCTCACAGAATTTTTTTTTTAATTTAAAAACGTGAGATGGAAAAAAAAAAACAACACTAAATTCTCGAGACATGTTTTTTAATAGTTGGACTTCTGCAAAGTTTTTGCATTCGAATGTGAATTTTTATTTTAAATTCGACAAATATTTGAAATTCAAATTTTTATTTGACAGCCCTATAGACCAATCTCAGTGTTTGCAAACAGGGATGACGTTTTTTTGTGGGCGGAGCCTATCTGGTGGCAGAAAATGACCGTTTTAACGTAGCAGTCAATTCAAGCCATGGAATAAAATAATAAAAAATTTAATTGAGTTTATATTTCAAAATTCGGACTTTTTTCTTGCAATTCCAAGATTATATCTCACAATTCTGGTAAGAAAAATCAACTCGTCATTCTTTCTTTTTAGTTTATAATCCCACACTTCTGGCTTTTTTTCCTCAGAATTAACAAACTCGCAATTGTTGACTTGAATAAAGTTATAAAGTCCGAACTAGGAGATTGCATTAGCAAGAAAAAAAGTCAGAATTGTGAGATAAAATAGTTAAATGTTATGTAAAATGTTATAGGTTTAAATAGTATTTCATGCATGTATTTCAACTGTAGGTCTAATACAATATGTCCCCTATATGAACATTATATAGACATATTGTTTAAATTAAATTTATGTTTTAAAATAGGGTAATCATAGCAGGTTTCATCCATAGTCTGTCCGTTTAAACGTCTGCGTTTAGCTTCAAATGGCGTCTTTGACGACAGTATTATATAAAAATTATTTGCATTCCGATTCTGACATCCAAAGGCACAACGATACATTTTTTCTCTTATTCCATGGTTTTTACCCGTTTCTCTCCATTTGTTCCCAGTGTTTTTCTGCCACCGCTATGCGCGCGCAGCTGCAAGTGACGTAACTGTGACGTCTACTCCAAATTGGTCTATTGTTTATTAATAATCAACATCTTTAGATGTTTTTTTTGCTTGGATAATGTCATTGGTAGTGCTTCATGGGATTGAAGTTGAAGTTCACAGTCCTGTCCAATTTTCTGAGATGTTTTTGCTTCAAATCAAAGTTTGTAATGTTGTGGTTCGCATCGTAGCTGCATGGTTTATAACGGTAAAATTACAAATAAATATGCCTCAAAAAATGCAGTCTCTTGCAGAAGCAGCAGCCGTTAGATCTAACATGAGACCAAAACATCTATAATATTAAATGCTGTTTTTTTGAGTGCTGTCACTTTAAGGCACCGTGGGTAGAGGTAGCACCTAAACCAGGCTCACCAGCCGCGCCTTGACCTCCCGCTCAAGCCTCCTCTGCGGTTCTTCTCGCTCTTCTTCACACTTGATCTGTGATACACTGCGGTCAGAGGATCAGTATCTGTTCCTCTTGTGAATCTAGTGCACTGCGCTGGTCACTAGTGTTAGTGTCGTGATGCTGCCGGCTCATCACGCGTGATTCACGAGGAACCGTGTGAGGTGTCTTCTGCTCTGAAGCTGCTTCAGATGATCGTTGCTCAGTGATCTAGTGATTGAGCTCATGCTGCAGGAACTCTGCTCGGAGTTATTTATTGTTTGCTTATTTTTCACTTAATAGTGAGAGTTAATCTGTGTGTGTGTGTGTGTGTGTGAAGGTTTCCTAGTGATGAACTCTACACAGTGTTCTTAAAAGTTGTGTTTGACCCTCATGACCTCTGAAGAGGGTCAGATTCCCTGCAGTTTTCTATTAATCCGATAGTAATAATCATTGAGTGTAACACTACAGTCATGTTATAAGGCACACAGGAGCACAAAATAAAGATCAAAGTATAATTATATAAACGTGCTCCAGAATGGCTAACTGGGTTACAGATTAAACCTAAATAAAGCTGTCTCTGTTACTTTGGGTATTAATGTTGTTTTTAAATTTAAAGAAAAATCTCATCATTTAAAAAATTGTGAAATAGAATGAGATTATTGTGAGGACATGTTTTTCTCATCATGTTCAAATGATGAAACTCTGAAGGACTTGTTTTATAAGATGGACCCAGAAAAACTTTTTCAATTTCTTTCAGAAGTAAATCTAAAGAATCGTTTATAGAATTTTATGTGCAAAACTTTGTTTTATAATTGCTTTATTTTATTTTTGTATTTTGTATTGTGTACTACTGTATTGTTTTTCTAATGTATAATCTGTGTTTGCCATGAAATAGCCTGTGAAGCTGATGTGGCAATAAACTTAAATCAAGTCTAAGTCATTTCCAGTGTGTCACAATTTTATTTTTAGTTTTATAATTGCTTTATTTCATTTTTGTATTTTGTATTGTTTTTCTAATGTATAATCTGTGTTTGCCATGAAATAGCCTGTGAAGCTGATGTGGCAATAAACTTAAATCAAGTCTAAGTCATTTCCAGTGTGTCACAATTTTATTTTTAAAGTGTGTGAAATCATGTGCTAATAGTTTTGTGAATTGCAGCTTAATATTATTTGTTGTAAATGAGATGGCGTGAGAATGGCACTGATGAATGTGTGTTTAATGTGGGATGGGTTCAGAGGTCAGTGCTCCAGCATCAGTGTGACGGCGCTCTCTGCTGGACGCTGAGGCTCACGACGCATTCACATCCACTGACGATGACGATGATGATGATGATGATGTGATGATGATGTGATGATGATGTGATGATGATGATGATGGTTGTGTTTCAGGGTGTGTGTTTGCAGCTCACGCTGTGACGTTTGAGGTGATGGATGGAAACTCCACCTGCATTAAAGCAGATCTCAACGCCAGCTTCAGCATCACCTACAACACCACCAATGGTATACACACTCATATACACACACACACACACTCACACTCACACACACACTCATATACACACACTCACACTCACACACACACACACACACACACACACACACACATATACACACACACACACATATACAAAACACCTTGGAAATCTGTCATATGATTCAAGGTAATGGCCAGAATGGGCCTGCGGAGGTTGTTAGAGGACTTTATAGGGTCACCCCAAATCAGGTTTTGTCTTTATGAGCTTTATACAGTGCATTTTTTGGCTGTTACAATTTGGCTGAATCTGCCCACTAACAACTGATTAGGATTTCCAAATGGGGTCCGGAAACCTCTGTGGTTGTAGGAGGTCAATGGAAATGTTCCGAGAAAAAACAAAACAACAACAACATAATAATAATAAGTGACCCTGGAGCACAAAAGCAGTGTTAAGTCGCTGGGGTATATTTGTAGCAATAGTCAACAATACATTGTATGGGTCAAAATTATCGATTTTTCTTTTATGCCAAAAATCATTAGGATATTAAGTAAGATCGTGTTCCATGAAGATATTTTGTAAATTTCCTACCGTAAATATATCAAAACTTTATTTTTGATTAGTAATATGCATTGCTAAGAACTTAATTTGAACAACTTTAAAGATGATTTTCTCAATATTTAGATTTTTTTGCACCCTCAGATTCCAGATTTTCAAATATTGTCCTATCATAACAAACCATACATCAAAACAATCCGGGGTCACAAATTATCTTGTACATTAACAGACTCTCTACTTTATAAAAAAATAAATAAAAATAGGTAAACCTCAAAAGCTACAACAGTGAAATTCCTGATATTGATTCCAACAGTTCCATGGTTGCCAGGTTGGGAAGATTAAGTAAAACACTGTGTCCTACTAAAAGAAAAGCTCTTACTGGGGGATTTAAACCGGCAACCTCAAGCATGAAAATAGAGGCTTGATTAAAAACAACCTATAATATTTTTCCCCTCTTTTCCCTTTTTGTTAAAGAAACCGTGAAGGTATTTTGGTGAAGTTTTTTGTCAACAAAGTTGATATAGTAGCATTTTTCACCATAGTTTTTGTTTGGTGTGTTAGAGCGCGGCGAGGTTTGCGCTGCCGTCCACCGCAGCAGAGGGCAATGGCAGTTCCTGCGGAGGCGCTGGCGTTCCTCCAGAGCTGCTGGTGTCGTTCGGTGCGGGTCACGCTCTGACTCTCCTGTTCTCCCGCGACGGACGGCTCTACCGTGTGGCCAACATCAGCCTGCAGTACAACCTCAGTGACACCAGCACCTTCCCACAGTCCTCCAGCACAGGTGAGACTCACTCACACACACACACAGGTCATTACGGATGGACCAGCGTCCGCTCACGTGCGTTTCTCTCGCAGGGCTCATGACGGTGATGACGAACGCGACAGAGATCTCTGCGAGGTTAAACAGCACCTACAGGTGTGTGAGCTCCAGCACTGTCAGTCTGAGCGCCGAGGTCAACCTCACCTTCTCTGATGTGCGCATGGAGGCTTACATGAGCGGAGCTAACCTCAGCACAGACGGTACCTTCTTGACATTGAATTAAGTGCCGTTTTACTCGTTGTTGTTGATTCCACATCATATGTTGGTTTCCCAGCATGCACAGTGGCTGGATGTGAATGAATCATCCCTTGGGTTCTTTTCTGGAAAGTGGTCATCATCAAAAAAAAACAAAAAAAACAGAGCAGTGTTGTTAACGAAAACTATTAAAAATATATATTTTTTAATTCAAATATACAGCTAACATAATAATAGAAGAGACACTTAGAGATAAAAAAATGAGAAATGTTGCCTTGTCAGGTAACTGAAATATAATAATTCAAATTAAACTACTAAAATGACTAAAACTAGTGAAATAACAGTAAATAAAGAACCAAAAGTAATAAAAATGATAAAAGGACATAAAATCTAAACTGGCATAAAATTGAATTAAAACTACATCGAAATAAATAAAAAAAACAATGACAAAAGCACAAATTAAAATTAAAACTGAAATAATTCAAAGCTAATTCAATATCTTTATTTTGTTTTTCATAACATGACAATGTTGATAACAGTTGATGACAATGTCTATAATAATAAATATCAGAAATGGTTCTCAATCTGTCATTTTTAAAAATACTGAAAGGACAAGTTGTAAGTGTCAAATAAAAATAAAATGTAAAAAATTTATTAAATGTCCTGTTAGTGTTTAGTTAGTTATGTTAGTGACACTGAATTGAATCAACATTGATCTGAATAATGACTCTATTGTCTACTGTAGAGCTGCTTTACAGCTGATATTGAATTAGTTTTGATGAATTTTGCAACATGAACAGTTATTTTCCTGTTTATGACTGAATCTGCGTAGAATCTGGGTGAATTTGTGGCGTGTCTCGTGTGTGTGTGTGTAGAGAGCGTTTGCAGTGCTGATCAGACGGTTACAACCGCTGCCCCGACTCAGTCGCCCAGAACCACCGCTGCCCCGTCTCCAGTCCCGCCGCCCGCTCCGGAGCGAGGAAACTACACCCTCACCAACCGCAACGGCACCGCCTGTCTGCTGGCACTCATGGGGCTGCAGCTCAACATCACGCACCGCTCCAAATCCCTGAACCAGGTGATGCACGCACACACACTTCCTGCTGCTGCCACGTGTTTGACCGCTGCTGACCTTTGATCTGACCCTCCGCAGATGGTCAGCGAGGTCGTGAACCTGCAGCCAAACAGAACTACAGCCTCGGGGTCGTGTGGGTTCACGGTCGCCACACTGGTGCTGACGGAGGATCTCACCAACCTCACCTTCACCTTCACACTGGTGAGTGTGCGTGTGTGTGTGTGTGTGCGTGAGAGAGTGTTGGAGAGAGTGTGCGCAAGAGTGTGAGAGTGTGCAAGAGAGTGTGTGAGAGAATGCGAGTGTGCGTGATAGTGTGCACGAGAGTATGTGTGTGAGAGTGTGTGAGAGAGAGTGTGAGAGAGTGCGAGTGTGCGTGCGAGTGTGTGAGAGAGTGCGCAAGAGTGTGTGAAAGTGCGAGAGCGCGCAAGAATGCGAGTGTGCAAGAGTGTGTGTGAGAGTGTGCGCGAGAGTGTGTGTGAGAGTGTGCAAGAGTGAGAGTGCGCGAGAGTGTGCGCGAGAGAGTGCAAGAGTGTGTGAAAGAGTGCGCGAGTTTGTGCGAGAGTGCGCGCAAGAATGCGAGTGCGCAAGTTTGTGCGAGAGTGTGTGAGTGCAAGAGTGCGCGAGTTTGTGCGAGTGCGCGTAAGAATGCGAGTGTGCAAGAATGTGTGTGAGAGTGTGCGCGAGAGTGTGTGTGAGAGTGTGCAAGAGTGTGAAAGTGCGCGAGAGTGTGCGCGAGAGAGTGCAAGAGTGCGTGCAAGAATGCGAGTGTGAGTGTGAGAGAGTGTGTAAGAGTGCGCGAGTTTGTGCGAGAGTGCGCGCAAGAATGTGTGAGAGTGTGCGCGAGAGTGTGTGTGAGAGAGTGTGCAAGAGTGTGAAAGTGCGCGAGAGTGTGCGCGAGAGTGCAAGAGTGTGTGAAAGAGTGCGCGAGTTTGTGCGAGAGTGCGTGCAAGAATGCGAGTGTGAGTGTGAGAGAGTGTGTAAGAGTGCGCGAGTTTGTGCGAGAGTGCGCGAAAGAATGCGAGTGTGCAAGAGTTTGTGTGAGAGTGTGCGCGAGAGTGTGTGAGAGAGTGTGCGAGAGTTTGTGAAAGAGTGTGCGAGAGTTTGTGCGAGAGTGCATGAGAGTGTGCACAAGAGAGTGCGATTGTGTGCAAGAGTGTGTGTGTCTGAGTGTCCTGTAATGATAGCATGATGATAATGGTGGTGTTTTGTGTTGCTGCAGAACTCCACTACACAGAAGTATTACCTGAGCGCTGTGAACGTCTCTGCCTTCTGGCCTGACATGACAGGTACAGCTGTTCAGTGCACTAGATCTTTTAAATTAGGCTTTTAAATCTGCTTAATTAATATCTGATGTACAGATTCAGCTGCAGGAACAGGACATCCACGGATCCTTAGAAAGCATTCAAATGTCTAAAATTCACTTTTCAAAATGTAAAGTTATAGTTCACCTAAAAGTGTTCACAGAAACAAACAGCTGAGGGTAGCCACAGAGTTCTATACTATAGAAAATACTAATGAAGTCAATGGCTACCGTTAACTGTTTTTTTTTTAAACAACATTCTTTAAAATATCATCTTTTATGATCAGCAGAAGAAAGAAACTCACACAGGTTTGGAACTTGAGGGTGAGAAAATGATGACAGAATGTTCATTTTTGGGTGAACTATTCATTTGACGCCATAAAACATCATTCACAGAGCTCTTAAACATGTTGACAGAAAGGAGGTTCATTATAGCAATTTAACACTGATTTATTAAGTACTAGATGAATAAATGTGATTATTAGCATTTGATCAGTCAGTCTTTTTTTTATAGTTTTTGATGCTCTGTGCCAAATTAAGCTGTGTTAATGCATAATTTTGCAGTCTATATGCAGCATTTCAGATTCTGTCGTTTGGTGTAAAGATGGACCTCTGATGATAGATGACATTCATACATGCTGATTGCTCAGTTGAGCATCTGAAAATATAGAAAATTATTCAAAAAGTAAACAAAAAAACTGAATCATACCTTAATAAACCTCTCTGTTTAATCATGAAGTATTCATTTTTACCTTAGTTTTGCTACAGATTTTTGAAATGATTTCCATTAAAAGACTCGTCTCATTAAATTTATTACATTTCATGTTCTTAAACATGCCTGAGTAATATTTATAAAATGATTTGAACATGTTTAACTTTTTTAATCCTTCATCCACTTTATTTTTAATGTAAGGCGTGCTTCTGCTTTGAAGAATAAGGGTGATCATCCAGAATATTCCCAGCGCTTCAGTTTAATGAAGTGCTGTGTGATTGGTGTCTCCTCACACGACTGCTGTCACTAATAAATGTGATTGTGTGATTGCTGCAGAACGGTTCGTGGAGGGAAACGGCTCTCTGAACTTCCTGCAGTGCAGCGTGGGCCGCTCGTACATGTGCAGCGCGGAGCAGACGCTCTCGATTGTGCCCAGCTTCTCCATAAACACCTTCAGACTGCAGCTGCAGCCCTTCAACGTCACCGCCAGCCGCTTCTCTGCAGGTACTGACCGCCGCTCGTGATCGGATGCAGTCCAACACTGACTTTATTCTCAATTCTTCATTTGTGCAGATCTTAAACTCTTATTTTTAAAGGGGTCATGAACTGCCTTTTGTTTTTTGTGTTGTACTGTTCTCTGAGCTCCACTTATAATGTTATCAAGATTTTTACATCAAAAACATAATTTATAAGTAATATGCTATTTTCTGTCTTGATTTTAACCCCTACATGTAGACTCTGAAGTAAACGAGCTGCTATGATTGGCTAACAGTTGTTTAACAGCTTACATTCCTCACAGATGGACGCTGCTGTGATTTAGGTTAAAAATGCATAAATACTCAGTGCATATCAAACGATCTTTTTAACAGACAAAGCAGTTCCTCATACTTGTGTTGTGACATTACTGTCAGATCTAATATAGTCACACAGCATCGTCTTTTAGTTTTCAATCTTTCGGAAAATCCTGCGTCAAATCGTGCCTTGTTTGTAAATGAATCGGTGGTAAAATGAAGCGAACAAAAGACCAAGTTCTCACTGACGCGGTCTGGATCTTCATTAAAAATAAAGTTTATCCACTCTTTCCTAACGTTGGGATCAGACGGAAGGCAATGTAAACACTTTTTTTTCCACAACTTGGAACTGAACAGCGTCTTGTCTTAAGAGCATCTTTATCGTTTGATTTCTGCGTAGACTTGCACGTTTGCCTCTCTCATACACACTACATGTGCGAATCAGCGGGCGGGGATAAACAGGCAGCGATGTATAATCGGTGGGCGGGGCTAAACAGGCAGCGATGTATAATCGGTGGGCGGGGCTAAACAGGCAG